TAAAAACTGGCATAAAAACAAGAAAAAATAAAACAAATGAACTGGACCTGTCTTTGACATTAGTGTTTCAGTAATGGCAAAAAAAAATCCAACACAATCAAAGAATGAATTTATTACATCTTTCTATTGTCCATGATAAAAGTAAGGTATTAATCTCTTCTTATATCCCAATATTGTCATTGGCGATTCTAATGCAAAAAAAAAGTCCTTGAAAAAGCCAATTTCAAAACTTAAAGTAATGTTACAACTTACAATTCAATGAAGCAAATTGTGAATTTTACAGATCAACCGACGTAGAAGAGGTACAATTTTTGAAGAGAAAAAAATCGACACCATACCAAATGGGAAAGATAAGGTAAAACATTTGAACATTTTGTTAGGGCTTGTCTCTTATTTTTTAACTTTATTAATGTGGAATCTTATCTTTAAATTGTCTATAGTTGCAAAATATGATTTTGAATAATTCAGTTTATAGAGCAAGACATGAAATGTCTGCCAGTCCTTATTTCTTGGTCTTTAGCCATCAATAGGTCCTGTGTTACTACTTTCTTGCATGTGCTTTTTTTCACTTTGAAACTTTTATAACAATATTATTCATTGACTAGGAAAATATTTGATAAACTCATTTTATCAGTAACTTAGTTACTTAATATGAAAAACAGTTTGCAATATATTTATGGTAAATGTATTGTCGTTCTCCCTACTCATAGTAATCACAAAGATTCTCCTTGGGGTCAAATATATTTTTATTTTTATGTATTTGGCATCCATGGCCAAATAGTTAAAGTGCATGCTTCCAGATGAGCCAACATATTTTCAAAGAAAATTCAATCTTTAGAAAATATATAAATATCTTAAGAAAAGTAAAAAAATTCAATGTTAAATTTAATTATTTACATGTTTATGTGCCATTAATGATGATTTAGCAATATCAACCACTATAATTATAACTGTGTTAACAAAACACAGTAAAATATATTTATGTATATTTTGAACCTCTTTTTGGTAATTTACGTGGATTGTAAGTGCCGTATGCAATGTGTAAATTACTTCCTTTGTACACTTCACAGTATTTTACTTTTACATACATTTTCAAAATTTTCATGAAAATTAGCATGAATCTGGAGGCATGCTGCTTTAAGGTCATTAACTTCAAAACACTGGCCCCGTTCAAATCCTGACAGGGACTTTGGATATTTTTATTTAGGGAAGCTATCCAGCAAGCTTATAGAATGTTGGTTGTTCTACTAAGGTACCCCTTCATGCCTGAAATAATGCATAGAGGGGCACTTGAGGTCTTCTTTCACCAGTAAAGGTGGAAAGTCATTATATGAACTTTACAGTGTTAGTGGATTGTCAAGCCCAAATATTATTTGATGTGCGTAAAGACTTTCAGTAGTTCTGTTCAATATATGAGCCGCGTCACAACAAAACCAACATAATGCGTTTGCCACCAGCATGGATCCAGACCAGCCTGCGCATCCACGCAGTCTGATCAGTATCTATGTGATATGCGCTGAAATATCTTGGTTGATACGCGCAAGAATTCTCTGTTGTTGATATTACACTATGATACGAGGAGTACCTATGGGACTAAGGATATGGAAGGTGCCGAGCTGGAATCAAGAGTTGAAAATAAATTTAACTTTTTATTTTATTAATATCCAATTCCGAACTTCGAATGATGAAGTTGGATGGATTTCAGTTGCTTAAATAGGAAAAATACTTGATTCAGGTGACAAACAAGCTGGAAGCCAAAGGATTATAGATACAATCGACTTTTTGAATAAAGTTTCACACATTTTAATACATATAGAGGAATATCACATCATATATTTAACACACAGAAAGTGATGATAGGTTAACAATTTTTTCCAAAAAAAAGATATTATAAATTTATTACTCTAGGCAGACTTGAGATTATGACAGTTTTTACTAGAGTATGGGATGTTTATTTATTTAATATCCTTAAGATTAATAATTTCCTAAATGGCTTCCAAAGTTTAGGGTTTTTGAAAAGAAATATTAATTGTCATTTAACAGTTTTCATTTAACAAAAAAATATACATAAAACCATTTATAAACATACAAAAAAAATGAAAATATAATCAACTATATACATACAAGATATTTTTACAATAATAACTTAACTCTGAAGAATTTGATGTAAAATATGGGGCATAACATATGCTGTTAGCTTACAAATTTAACCCTTTTACAAGTACAGAAACTGATAGCGAACACATTATGTTGGTGTTGTCGTGACGCGGCTCATATTTGCCAGACTTGTCATAGGGATAATAACAAAAGGGTTAAAATGCTTGTGAAAACATAATTTAACAATTATTAAGAATTTATGGTTTAAAATAAGTCAAATTAACATACACAATACAATTTTAGTGATTTTCTGGCTCACCTATATATAACAGACTCCTATAAAAGGCTCTTCCCCAATTTTAAGTCATGCAGTTTCCCTAAAATTCTGAATATACACGTGCTTTTTTACTTCCCAATTTAGCAATTTTAGCTTTATACTTTTCCCCCCAAATTATAGCCTCTTCCCAATTAAGTGAGAAAAATCACTAGAATTTCCATATTTATTAGAAATATGCACATGGATTTTATCATTTAGGTACAATGTTCAATTTTCAGCTCTGAATTTGACGATGACTCGTTTACGAGCCAGGATCTTATAGATACGGCCCCTACAGCAGGCTATGATGACATTTAAGAAGCTCCTCAAAGAATCTAATCAAAGGATTGTATGTGTAAAAGCTGGGAAATGGTACGAGGATTCATGTCAAAGCTGTTGAGGTAAGAATATTGAATTGGTCAGGGGAAAAAAGGGATATCAAAGTACACAGATTTATTAACTGTTGGAACACACTCAATACATGTGATGGTTATGGCAGGGCCGGCTAAATCAGTTTTTCTATATTGTCCAGTTGTCCCAAAGCCTGTACAGATATGTGAATTTTTTTTCGGAATTTACAAAATTATTTTATAAATATCATACGGAACAAGTAAAAACGTAAAGAAAAATATAATATATACATGTATATTATAATATAAAAAGTAAGTCCCCAAAATCATATTTTGCGGACCCTGTATGGCTGTACTTGACCACTTGTGTAAGATACCGGCCAGTCAAGTAAAGTTGTCTGCTCAATATATGCTTTTCATGTTGATATTACCCTTTAAAATGATAAATGGACAGTTCCAAATTCAAAGAAGGGCAAGTCTTTTGTTTGAAATTAAGGGGTTTTCAGGTTGGAAATGTTTGTTATCTTAGTATGTTGTTTGGTTCCAAGATCAAAACATATATTGCAGGCTTCAGAATGTCCTCTGGATGTTCAAAATTTCTTGTTTTTAACCCATATAATCCGAATAACGGAAGGTGTCTTTGCCGCCAGTATAGAACCAGGCCAGAATTCATGTTAGTTCAGTCTTACAAGACTCTATACTGTTGAAAGCTTACTTTTTGTATTTTTTTTTTAATGAAATCCCTAAAATTTGTTTGAATGGACTATTCAAGTTATGGGTTAAATCCTTGAAAAAGTTTTCAGCAAAATTCACAACATGATGAGTATTAATAAAATGGAAATAAAAAACATTTGAGCCGCGTCACGACAAAACCAACATAATGGGTTGGCGACCAGCATGGATCCAGACCAGCCTGCGCATCCGCGTAGTCTGATCAGAATCCATGCTGTTCACTTACAAACACTATTACAAGTAGAGAAACTGATAGCGAACAGCATGGATCCTGATCAGACTGCGGGGATGCGCAGGCTGGTCTGGATCCATGCTGGTCGCAAACCCATTATGTTGGTTTTGTCATGACACGGCTCATTTGCCATTATATGAATAGCTTAAATTTATTTTTACCTTGTGTTTAAGGAGACCAGTAATGCTGAGATAGAGGCCAGTAAATCGGAAGACACCGGAATGGTTCTCAAATCTGTTTCATCTGTATGCTTGACAAAGACTGGTAAAACTTCCAGTCAAGCCCCTAGTGAACCAGAATCCAAAAAGAGTAGTAGAAATTCAAGTAAGATTGATAATTAACAAAAAAAAATCATAGGATATTATAGGTGATATGTAATCTATATATGAGCCGCATCATGAGAAAACCAACATAATGGGTTTGCGACCACCATGGACCCAGACCAGCCTGCGCATTCGCGCAGTCTGATCAGGATCCATGCTGTTCCCTTACAAACCCTTTTACAAGTAGAGAAACTGATAGCAAACAGCATGGATCCTGATCAGACTTTGCGGATGCGCAGGCTGGTCTGGATCCATGCTGGTCGCAAACCCATTATGTTGGTTTTGTCATGACACGGCTCATATATACTTATAAGGTAAATATTGAGCAATATTGATGAAATAAAATAAATTTTAATTTTTGTAATTGAACTGTAAAATTTATTTTTTTGTAGCAGTGAAACATATTTTCTGTATTTTCACTGGTGTCTTGCCAGACTACTTTCTTCTATACTAGTATTCAGTCAGTACACAAAATTTAAGGGCAAATCATTCAAATTGTATTGTCTCAAAAGAGAAAAATTAACATAAAAAAAACCAGAAAATTCATCCATAAAAATTATCATATTTCACTCGATGCTTTTGCAACTTATGAAATATTGATTTTCATACCACTCGGTGAAAATAAATTCTGTATTTATAGAAAAAACTTGAATATCCTCTACATATAATATTGCATCTGTTTCGAGGTTTATTTTCCAAAATTACAGTTTTCTAAGAACCATTTTTTTCTCATATTTTAACAACCATAAGGAAAGTCTTGCTTGTAATTTCCTTTCAGAATCTTGTTGGTTTTTAAAGAGCTATTGCCCCTGAACATATAGATAAAAACATCCATGACAGATATTATTAAAAAATCAACACAATTTGACAATGAAATGTGTGGAAACATCTGTCTGATACCATACTAGAGTAAACTCCACCAAATTTGTGAGATTTCAGTTCAATTGGAATTTTTTTCCATAGATTTGGAAAAATTAAGTGTATTTGCCATTGGGAATGAGTCTGGTATTTAGACCAGTGGTGACACTGGGTAAAGGCAATAATAATGTGTAATGGAACCTAGTATTTTATATTTGAGCTGCGTCACAACAAAACCAACATAGTGCATTTGCGACCAGCATGGATCCAGACCAGCCTGCGCAGTCTGATCAGGATCCATGCTGTTCGCTTACCAACCCTGTTACATGTAGGGAACATCATGGATCCGGATCAGACTGCGCGGATGCGCAGGCTGGTCTGGATCCATGCTGGTCGCAAACGCACTATGTTGGTTTTGTTGTGACGCAGCACATTTATGTGGAATATAAGTTCAAGTCCCAGTCATATCTTTATGGTAAATAATATCTCACATTATTGCAGGTGGTAAAGTGTCGATAGCAGATGTAATCACTTCCCCTTCACCTGTAAGAAGTAATAGCAGTAGACGGTCAACCCTTAAAGCGCCGTCAATAAAGAAGAACAAAATATCCCTCGTGCAAGTTAGTACTGAGATAACATCTGTGTAAGTCTCATGTTGTCATGCATTTTACACTTAACTTGATAGTCTTACTGTAATGCTTTCCTGCCAAAAATTTCTAAAATCAGCCAATATTGTTATTTATCATGCAACTGCTATGGTAACTGCCCAATAACACTTGCCTGATAATTATTTTTGATATCACGTCAGTAGCCTGATATCAAAAATTAGCCCCTTCCCATTTTAACGGACTTTTTTCAATTGCTTATATTCAAGCATTTTCATCAGCATGTGAATTCTACAATGTAATCTCATACCCTTACAAGTCTTGAATCAATATGCGAAATTTATTTATTTATTTATTATTTGGATTTCAATTATGAATAAATTAGATAGCGAATAGTTTTAGCACCAACTAAATGAAGTGACGTCATGATTTATATTGCAAATGTCATCATCGATGTTCACGTCATACTATACATGTAATCATAACAAAAGGCTGACGATTTTCTTTGAGAACTTGTAAATGTTTACTTTATTTCGCCGGATTATTATTTAATAAGTGAACAAATTGTTTCGTTTAAAAAATAAGACGCATGTTTGTGTAGCTTGTGTTTGATTGCCGATTTGACTTTTCTTTGATTGAAATTATCGTGAACTTTTGAATTTGACAATTCAAGACAAAAATTGCAGTAAAGTTTAGTTTATGTGATTCTAAAAGGATTTTTGGATCAATGTTTAAATTAAAGGTAAGAATGTTATCGTATTAGGCCTACATTTTGTTGTATCTTTTATCCGAGCCGAAAGAAAAAATGGCCGCCAATTACAAATTCTAAGTGTCAGGGGCGGAGGAATTTGTTTTCAAGAAGTATTTCTTTTAACAAAAATTCCCCTTTTTAACAAAATTCGCTATTTAAAAATAGATTATTTTGTTATTTTGACAGTTATTATGTGATACATGATAAATAGAAAAACATGCTACTGTCTTTTGATATCAATTTTATCAGACTCGGCTGATATGGGCAGAAAGGGCTCGGCAAGCCTCGCCCTTTCTAGCCCATATCAGCCTCGCCTGATAAAATTGATATCAAAAGACAGTAGCATGTTATTCTCTATAAATCGGCCATTTCCGGATTTTTTTTTTCACAATCTTTGGTATTCAATAATTTTTAACCGTTTATAACCGGAACTTAGTACATAGCAATAATGATGTGTGATGAATTTAATACATAGAGAGGAAGGATGAGTGATTGTAAATAATCTTATGCCCAAGATTTTGAAAAAATTACATTCAGAAATAACCGATTTGCTACGATATTGGCTGATGTTCATCTGGATCAGCGGAAAATGTATTTATTACTAAATTTATTGAAGTTGTTGAATAAAATAAATTTTCACATAAACCCTGGTGCAGGAGTGTATTAAACTCTTTTAATAAAAATAAAATCAATATTTCACAAGTGTAATAACACTTTAATGCGATGTCATTTGCGTTATATAAAAAAAAACAGCATTTAAGCGAGCTAATGTTAGCATTACACTAATAGGCATGACAATAAATAAATACTCTTTTTAATTATATTAACCATTTTTAGTCCCCTACCGGTTTACCGGAGGGGACTTTAGGTTTACCCTCCGTCCGTCTGTCTGTCCGTCCGTCCGTCTGTCCGTCCGTCCGTCCACAAAACTGGATCCCGCGATAACACAAAAAGTACTGAAAATATTTTAATGAAACTTGATATATGGATAGATGGCACTATGGAGATTATGCACGTCTTTTTCTTTTCTTCCTATGTTGAAAATTCTGGTTGCTATGGCAACAAATAGACTGAAAATATGGCAAATTTTACACATAACCTGGATCCCGCGATAACGCAAAAGTACTGAAAATATTTTTATGAAACTTGATATATGGATAGATGGCAGTATGGAGATTATGCACGTCTTTTTCTTTTCTTCCTATGTTGAAAATTCTGGTTGCTATGGCAACAAATAGACTGAAAATATGGCAAATTTTACACATAACCTGGATCCCTCAATAACGCAAAAAATACTGAAAATATTTTTATGAAACTTTATATATGGATAGATGGCAGTATGGAGATTATGCACGTCTTTTTCTTTTCTTCCTATGTTGAAAATTCTGGTTGCTATGGCAACAAATAGATTGAATTTCAAGATTATTGATTCAAGTTTTTAAGTTTTTTCACTATAAGTTCTTTATTTTTTAAGGTATTTTCTTCAAACTTTAAATATAAGTTGCTTGTCATCAACCACATCATATGTGACAAGGTTTACAACTCTAGCAAAAAATTTATCAGTATTAGCTCCCTTGAACTTAAAATTTTCATGAAAAAAAAACATTGTTTTTTTTAATAACTTCTTTTTCTGAATGTATCTACTTCAAACTTCATGTAAATGTTTCTTATTGTCACTCAACATTTGTGAGTGTTCAATACTCTACTAAGACTATTTCCAGAATTATGCCCCTTTTGAACTTCGACTTTTTTTTGAGAAATTGGTAATTTTTACTCCAACTTCTTCAATCATGATAGGATTTTAAAAATGTTATATTTTGATAACAGGGATGTTTAAAAAATAACTTTAGAGTGTCCTTCAGTCCGTCTGTCTGTACATAAAAACTGTTTCCTGTGATCACTTTTAAAGAACTTTTTCAACAAATTTACTTAAAATAGGAACCTAAGTGAATGGCCAATGGCCCTTCAGAATGTTGCTTGGGCTCTTACCGGTAGGGGACTTATGGATTGCTTGCAATACTATGATAATTGCTTGTTATTTTGAATATGTGATAATAGAATATCATTCATGTATTTGTGTAACTTATTGAACTCATTGAATAAAACAATATTATTCTTGCCAGAGGCTCACATAATATGATATTGTTCAACTCATTCAATAAATTCAGTATTAAACCTTAGTAAAACTCATTCAAAATCCCCTATATGTATTCATATAGTTTAAACAGTAAATTGAATAGTATTTTCCATGTATCTTTACCTTGGTTGATGCCAAAGCAGCAGAAATGGCTAAATCAGAAGTAAAGACAGAAAAGGTTTTGACTTGTTAATGTCTGAGAAACTTTATTAATTTTGACAGCCTATTGCGAAAAGAAAGACAGCTACGAGACCATCTATTCTTCCTTAAGTCGATATTCAATGTTCTTAGAGCTTTACATAATCTTAAAGTGAGGGACATTCGGTCAAAGGTATGTATGCTATGTTTCTATTGTTTCCAAATTTCCAAATGTTTTGCCAAAGATAACATGCATAATGTTTTAACAGCCCAATATACCCCAGAAATGCCTTTATGCTACTTATGTGTCAAATAATTTTACATTTAGCCCTACTTTCTTCAGGTAACAAGCATCTTACATGCTCGAAAACCATTCTTTAAATGTTACTTAATTTAAGTTTGCCATTATATTTATTAGTTTCTCAGGCATTATGCGCCTTTAAATGTTTCCAAAATTCCAAATTCCAATTCTAGATGAACTTCCATTTCTATGTAGCATAACTTTTTCAGTTTTGAATATTGGCATTTTATTGTATATCATATGTAATTTTTCACTTGGATTTATTCCGGCCAGTGTTGCCTGCAATCAAATGATATGCAGAACCTCCTCAAAAGTGTTTTTTTTTTTGTTCATGAGAAATTCATTATTTCCACTAGTCTATATTATATATATAAAAAAAATCTGGAAATAATTTCCCCTTGTAGTAAGAGATATATGAAGGAGTAAAATTCACTTGTATTTAGTCATGAAATTGTAATACTAGTATGTTTATAAAATGTGTATCAACATTGAAAAGGGAAATAAATCTAAATTATTATGTTAAGAGTAAGGGAGGCAATTAAATCAGTATTGTCTTGTATGCAGGGGAGACAATTAAAAAGTAGGGATAAAGTTTATAAATATTTATGATTAATACAATAAATTTCAAATTTGATTAGGAATATAACTCAATGTTTTGTGCCTGTAGTGTTGAAAGTTATATTGTAGCTGCATGTCTACAGATAAGCAAAAATATTTCATAAAAATCAAATTTGAGAAAAATTTAATGATTTTAAGAAAAGTAAAAAAAAAAATCAAGATTGACAAGTTATAACTTACATGTTATGTATGACTTAAGACTGATTTAGAAGAAATAATCATCACATTTTGCCTCTTTTTTTTTTGCATGTTTGTCTTATTTTTGGTAATTTATGCTTCTATTTGGTAATTTATGTGGATTGTAAGTGCTGTTTGCAATGTGTAAATTACTTCCTATGACTTCACAATATTTTACTTTTAAATACATTTTCAAAATTTTCATGAAAATTAGCATGATGCTGCTTTAAACAAAACATGTTTAACAATAATATTGAGAAAAGGGGGGAAGAAAACTCTGTTATTTATATTTGCATTTTCGGGCAAGCTTTTAATACAAATTAAGTTGTTAACACGATTTACTAGTATCTAAGGATTGTTAACTACGTGGGTTCAAACCCTGTCAGGGGCAAGCCGTTGTTTCCGTGAGCAAGAAACTTGACACTCATTGCTTAGTAGATCTACTGGTTGGTTTCAGGAACGGATTTGGGAGTGTTTCAATAAGCTTATAGCTTCCAACACAGTCAAACTAAAATAAATTTGTATAAACTCCAAATTTATCTATTCAGGTGCCGTTGTCAAGGGAGGCCGTAGAAAGACTACAGAGGGATCATTTCAGAGAAGAAGATTACAGTCGTGGAACATACGTGTAAGTTAAAGCACACAGTTCACATTTTTTAACTGGTGAACACATGTATAAATGTGTGTTGATATAGCATGGTTAATAAGGTTTTGAGTGGTGAATGCAAAACTCATGAAACAAATAGATTTTGCGAGGTTACTTAGAAATTACCAACTTTTCCAAAGTTGATCAACAAAGCTAGTGACAAGAATAAGTTCTGTTGGAGATTTAGTAATTTGTTATATACTTATAAATGAAATATTGAAAAACATTAAAATTTCTGGATATATTGATAATAGAATGCATATTTTCATGTTCCGTATTTTCACAGTGAAAATTTCTTTTTCATTGCAGTGAAACATATTTACCGTATTTTCAATGGTGTCTTGCCAAGTGGTAAGGTGAAAAAGAGAAAAGTTTTAATAAACAAAAAATTCAAGTTTATAAATACAGGATTTATTTTCATCATTTTTTGTATGAAAATTATCATATTTCACTCGTGGCTCACAGCCACTCATGAAATATTTATTTTCATAGAACTCAATGAAAATAAATCCTGTATTTGAATATCCTTTATATATTGAATTAACTTATTGCTGATGGGTTTGGATAGTGTTTTAATTGTGCAGAGTTGCTTCCCTTTATATATTGAATTAGTTTATTCTATATGTATAACTTCAATTTCAGTGACTTCAAAATATTGTGACACACAAGTTGTGAGTATTACAGCATGTAACCTCACCCTTTTCTTTCATAACATTCTGCTTTAACTTATTATAAATTGCATGAGCTCATGGGTTTGGATAGTGTTTTAGTTGTGCAGAGTTGCTTCCCTTTGTAGTTTATTTTTAGAATTGTAGATAGTCCAAGCATGCTGTTTAATAGAGACTGTCATGTAGTTTATCAAGAAAGTCATACAATACTTTTGTTTAAAAGTTCATAAAACAAATAAAATTGACAAATACATGTAAGTGTGTAGAGTATTATAAGTATAATGCATATTATTCATTTCACTAAAAAGTGAAATGTTCTGCCAGAAAAAATTCAAATTAAATTGGTAAATAACGGGGTTTGGATATGCATGGTAGAAGTTTGTATGATACCTAAAGTAGATAGAATTCAAAAGGTACTTTTTACTTCCTTTTACACCTACTCTTCTCACCCTATCTAGCATACTTAATTGTTTCCAATTAACAACCTCCTACCCCTCTAATAAGCGCCCGCCCTCCACCACATTTTGTAGAATAAAGTTCTTACCTTATAGATTTATAATCCAAAATGAAAGAGCAATCCAAAAAATCCAAATATTCTTATTCAAAAGATAACAATTAATGACCCTCGAGTAATGTAAATCATTAAAAAAGTAATCCTGTATTTTATATTAAATTATAATAATAAATAATGACTTTTATAATTGAATTTTGTCTTTAGTAAACACATTTTTAAGCACATTTTTTTTAGTTCTAATTAGCAGCCCCCAACCCCCTTTTGAAAAAAAACTGCAAGCCCCTGGGGGCGTTTAACTGAGACAATTACGTATCTTTCACTGTCTATCATCTTTCAATACTTTCTCTATCTTTCCTTCTTTATGTATAATATATACTACAGTTCTCACATACCCGGAGGTAGGCAGCCGAGGTGGAGCACTTACAGAAAGTGGTTACAACAGCCGGCGCACTTCTTTAGCCGAGGACCCTAGCGAACTTGGAGATTTCTTGCAAGAGGATCCTTTTTCAAATGAAAAGAAACCAACTCCAGCAAAAGAACACAAAGGATTATTTGCTGTAAACAAATCAATGCATTTGTCCTACTACTTTTTTGCCCAACAAAAATGTTTTTCAACTTCATTTTGAAAAAAAGACTTTCTTCTTGATTTCTGTTAAACCTTTCAGAACTTTGATCAAACTCTTTTCTCTACCCCAATATGTGTTCTAAATATGCATTATGACTGTAGGATAGATCTTTATAAACTTTTTCTTCCTAGTTCCTCAGGTTTTCTTTTTTTATTATATTCTTGATTTTACGGACATTTTAAATTGTGACATACATGTACTTTCAAGATATATCTCTGTTTAAACATATTTATCTAAGCTCGATTGAGAAAAAAGTTCTTGCAACATATATTAATCATTTTCGAGTCCGCTTTCTGGAACCAACCAGTACTGGTGTCATATGAACAAACATGGTCGTGACCCAAGTAGGGCTCGAACCAATGATCTCTGGGTTGAGAGGCCAACACCTTAACCACTAGGCCACCACTTTCAAGGTATATCTCTGACAAAATATATATATTTTTAACATTAATACTTTCAAGATATATCTTTAACAATAATAGTTTCAAGATATATCTACAACAATAACACTTTCAAGATATATCTATAACAATGATACTTTCAAGGTATATCTCTAACAATAATACTTTCAAGATATATCTATAACAAAAATACTTTCAAGATATATCTATAAAAATGATACTTTCAAGATATATCTCTAACAATAATACTTTCAAGATATATCTGTATAATGATACTTTCAAGATATATCAATAATAATAACAATGATACTTTCATGATATATCTATAACAAAAATACTTTCAAGATATATCTATAAAAATGATCATTTCAAGATATATCTATAACAGTAATTACTTTCAAGATATATCTCTAACAATGATACTCTCATGATTAATTTCTATCAATGATACTTTCGAGATAAATCTCTGACAATGATACTTTCAAGATTAATCTCTAACAATAATACTTTCAAGATATATGTCTAATAATGATACTTTCAAGATGTATCTCTAATAATGCTACTTTCAAGATGTATCTTTAACAATGATACTTTTAAGATATATCTCTAACAATAATACTTTCAAAGTATATCTCTATCAATGCTTCTCTGACAATAATACTTTCAAAATATATCTCTGGCAATGCCTCTTTCAAGATATATTTGACAATGATTCCTTCAATTCTTCTTTATCAATGATACTTTGAAGATATCTCTCTTACAATGATGCTTTCAAAAAATGTCTTTGACAATGATACTTCCAAGATATCTCTTTAACAATGATTTCTATTTTAAGTTTGCACACCTGTCAGTCACAATTTTTATGCCCCCACAGAGTGGGAGCATATAGCGTTGCACTTGTCCGTCCGAGTGTCCGTCCGTCCGTCTGTCCGTACGTCCCGAAATCTTGTGAACGCAACTCCTCTTAAACCAGATGGCAGATTTTGCTTAAACGTCCAGGGATGAACAACCTTAATGTGTAGATGGTAGTAAAGGAAGGAATTTTTGCTGCGACCAAATTTAACAGAATTATGGCCCTTTGTTGATTTTTTCACTATATACTATGTAGAAATTTTGTGAACGCAACTCCTCTTAAACCGGATGGCAGATTTTGCTTAAACTTCCAGGGATGAACAACCTTAATGTGTAAATGGTAGTAAAGGAAGGAATTTTTGCTGCAACCAAATTTAACAGAATTATGGCCCTTTGTTGATTTTTTCACTATATACTATGTAGAAGTTTTGTGAACGCAACTCCTCTTAAACCGGAAGGCAGATTTTGCTTAAACTTCCAGGGATGAACAACCTTAATGTGTAGATGGTAGTAAAGGAAGGAATTTTTGCTGCGACCAAATTTAACAGAATTATGGCCCTTTGATGATTTTTTCACTATATACTATGTAGAAATTTTGTGAACGCAACTCCTCTTAAACCGGATGGCAAATTTTGCTTAAACTTCCAGGGATGAACAACCTTAGTATGTAGATGGTAGTAAAGGAAGGAATTTTTGCTGCGACCAAATTTAACAGAATTATGGCCCTTTGTTGATTTTTTCACTATATACTATGTAGAAGTTTTGTGAACGCAACTCCTCTTAACCCGGATGGCAGATTTTGCTTAAACTTCCAGAGATGAACAACCTTAATGTGTAGATGGTAGTAAAGGAAGGAATTTTTGCTGCGACCAAATTTAACAGAATTATGGCCCTTTGTTGATTTTTAGTTTTCAACTTGTGGCACATGTAGTCCAAAAAATATTTGACCTAGAGTCATAAGATTGACAGAACAGTGGCGTGTGGGGGCATTCGTGTCCTATGGACACATTTCTAGTTCTCTCTCTTTCTCCAACAATTTATGTAGAACACCGAGACAGAATACACAGCAAAGTCGGAGACTATCGGTGGCCTCATACAACCAGGGGGGCTTTAACCCGCTTCGCTCGTCTGCAGCAGACACTTTTGGAGATAATGCTGATCTTTTATCTGATGATGAAACGCAAAAGAAGACGCCTGCATGGCAACAGAAGACCTCAGACCTGTTAGTGCTTATTTGTTTTATAATCTATGTACTGGGGCCTTGGTGTCACACTTTTTGGTTTCATGTACATGAAATAAGGAAGTTTTGCACAATTCACAGCAAGCTCTCAATGTATTAGACATGTGGTTTTAAGCATAACTAATAACCCTAGCAAATATTGCGTATTGGATTGATTTTTGTAATATTGGACTGCTAATGCCATATTGGACTGACAATCACCATAATATAAGGCTAATTTTGGGCACAAATATGTTATTTAAATAAAGCATTAATAAACCTCTTTCCTATGTAAAAAAAATCACTGAATTACTGATACAAATTGCAAAGCAAGGTAGTCCAATATATTATAATATTGTCCAATTTACCAAAATAGGGTCCAATGTACCATAATAAGGTCCAATATACCATAATATGGTCCAATATTCCAATGTATGCTAGGGAAGTTATTTTCCATGGGTTTCATATAGGAATACCTTCCTCCTTATAAGGAGAATACTTATATGAGCCGCGTCACGACAAAACCAACATGTTGCGTTTGCGACCAGCATGGATCTAGATCAGCCTGCGCATCCGCGCAGTCTGATCAGGATCCATGCTGTTAATTTTTTCGCTTTTATTTTTCCTACTTGTTAAAGGGTTGGTAAGCGAACAGCATGGATCCTGATCAGACTGCGCGGATGCACAGGCTGGTCTGGATCCATGCTGGTCGCAAACGCACTATGTTGGTTTTGTCGTGACGCGGCTTATATATAATTATCATTCATGCATGTATTTAATAGTATATGACTGTATAAACCATAGATCACGTGGGAGAGGTACTCCAGCCTCTGCGCTGCATGTAGAGGGTGACCATGGGGACGGATCACATACAGCAGGTCGTCTGTCTATATTTAATACAGCCAAGCGTGCAAACACTTTTGATAATGTTACTAAAAGTGTGTTTGGGAGAAGGTATCTTACATGTTCATGTTGAAGTGGAAAAATAGTTTATATCTGTTAGGGAAAAAAAAAAGACATAAATTTACCATACTATGTGCTAGGTAATGTCTATGTCTTTGAATCTATTTGTTTATTTATTGTTAATTTTTGACTATTCTTAAAAAACTGGGCATTAAAACAGGTGTTTTAGATGGGCTTCCATATTTTTTGTAATCTAATGAGAGCCCTGAGGACTATGTTTCTATAATGCTAAAGATGACAGTGTACAAAATGGGGAACAAACATTGTTTGTCAGTATTTTAGGGATGGTCATATTTTTAATGCATTTGTTGTTTTATTATGTTATGTCAGTAGGATATGTTTTATACAGTGTAAGGAGACATGCTAACTTGTATGATTTAAATTGTTACATTTCTGATTTAATGAATGATTATTCAATGTCCAAAGTTGGTACATATTGAAGGGTCACTTAAGAAAAAAACATCAATTCCCTTTGATAGAGGAAAGAAATTTAACTACATGTAAATAAAAAATTGTAATAATTCCTAAAAATATTTGTGATAAATAGAGGAAAGGTTTAATACTAAATTTATTGAACTTGTTGAATAAAATCATATAATGCAAGCCTCTGGCGAGCATAATATTGTTTTATTCAATGAGTTCTTTGAATCTACACGAATATAATTTCATCAAAATACACTTAGTCTAGTTTAATATTGTTTTTTTATTAAATGGCTTTATTACACTTCTGCATCATTGTAAATCAATGTTCAATTTTTTATCAGGGATAGTTTAAAATGGAAGTTAAAATTTTAAGAATTGAAAATGAAAATGAAACAATTAAATCACATACCTGAGTGCCAATTTACACTGTATCCCTATTTTTTGCTGTTATGTTATGTTAGTTCTGTTGTTTTTTTGTTAGACCTATGTCCCAGAAAAAGAGATCCATTGGGGAAAAATCAACACCCTTAACATTTCGATCATTTGCTAAGAAGGTAACCATGAATGGAAACAAATCAAGAAGGTAAATACTTTATTCTCTAGGTTTATATATGACCCCCAGACAGCTAGATTTGAAAGTCATTGTATGTTTAGTTTTTTTTGTAATGCGTTTATTTAAGGTTGCTGCCGGAAAGCCCATATGGGCGACCGTACACTCAAGTCGGGCCATCCTAGAGCGTCCCGCCGAGATATTTTTGCCGATTTTTTTTCCCAGCTTTTATTGGTGGATGAAGACCCCAGGTGCACCTCCGGGCATTATTTCAGGCACGAGCGGGCACCTGGGTAGAACCACCGACCTTCTGTAAGCCAGCTGGATGACTTCCTCACACGAAAGATTTCGACCAGAGTGAGGATCGACCTACAGCGGTGAGGGACCTGTGATCTCAAGTCAGCGACCTTAACCACTCGGACACTGTATGTGTGTGTACTTGCGTTTATTTATACTCGCCACCGGTTGCCCATATGGGCAAGTCTTCCAGTAGAGTTTTAGTCATTTTACATTTTGGAGGATAGTGCAAGATACAGATTTTCATTAGAACTTAAGTGACCAGTGAAAGTAAGTGCAGTGTCCAGGAACCATAATTCTAAATTGCTTTTGAAGTTTTGAATTTTCTCCCTTTATGTTACTTAAGAAAAATGTATAAATGAAATGCTTGGATTTTTTTTGACGAACAAACAAAAATGAGGCTAAATTAATATTATAATATCATAATAATAATTTATAATGGAAAATCACATGGTGAAAATGCTTGGAAGTTTATAATAAACTAAATTATTTAATATGTAATATTTTCAATGATTCTAATTTATTTGATATAAGAAAAGTATTGAATGCCCACAATTTTATTTATAGATTTTCTTCAAATAGAATTTGCCAAGTAATAATGCAGATTATTATACTAGTTTTGCATTGAACAAATACACATTTTTTAAATAGAATAGTATGACAAAAATGTTTTTAAATGAGCTGCGTCATGACAAAACCAACATAATGGGTTTGCGACCAGCATGGATCCAGACCAGCCTGTGCATCCGGACAGTCTGATCAGGATCCATGCTGTTCACTATCAGTTTCTCTACTTGTAATAGGGTTTGTATTAGCGAACAGCATGGATCCTGATCAGACTGCGCGAATGCGGAGGCTGGTCTGGATCCATGCTGGTCGCAAACCCATTATGTTAGTTTTGTCATGGCGCGGCTCAAATGTCCTAAACTATGCAGAGAAAAAATATGTTTTTTCACAAACAAGGTTAACAATATGAAAATCTTTCAGAATATGTTAAAATTACCTTTAACTTCCTGCACTGTACCTCCCCTCTGGCATGTACAAAAGTTATCATTTATTTGCAAAAGTGAAGGTAACTAGTACTGGTAAACTGCATGACAGCCTGCCCAGAAATGATAAGGTGGCTGGTAAATTCAATGTGTCTTACTGCTGTGATCTGGAGTGAAAACTACCAACAAAACCACCACCAAAAGTACCTCATGCAGATAAGTTTCACGACCCCATGATATGTTATACAAAGTTATTTTGAAATCAGATATGCTATTTTTGATAAAAAAAAAAAAAGATACAATTTATCTAATGACTATCCGAAAAGATTAATCATATTTATAATAATAATATTTTTTCATTTATGTAGTTTTTTTATTTATCAGTGGTTGAAAAAATCTTAACTTTTGAACATGAATTACATTTCATATTTATTCATTTTCTTCAAAAAGGACATAGAATTCAACTGTAGAGATAAATAAATATACATGTATTTCACTCGTAACAGGAAGTCAAAGAACGTTGGAACAACGGAACGGCCTGCCCTCGAAACTTGGGAAGATCTGTTGAATGTGCAGCCGGAACCTTACAAGGAAAAACCGGGATCGGGCAACATTGGTTTCCAGATGGGGGTCATCACAAAGTTTATGCGCTGGTACAGGTAAGTGTCTCTGGTATGACAAAAAATTAATTTTCAGTGAGCTAGAGAGAAACTGGGAAGGGCAGGGCATGGGGGTGGGGGGGGGGATCGGCTAACTGGAGGTGACAGATGGTTTTTTAATTTATGATATTCATTGTAGTTGTATATTTTTATTTTCAGAGAGGAAATATAAAAATCTCCTTTTAAATCTAACAACGCAATGGATAGTTAAATTGTTCTATCCTTCTGGTGGTTTTTGAGAAACTCAAATATAGTTTATCTAACAAACAGTACTGTGTTAACTGTATTTATGTTGCTGAGTTATAGCCATCAATATGCTACTGTAAATCACTTTATATTCGCGTGATCTTTATTTCGCGAAAACCCCATCCCCAGATTATTTCGCGTATTCATGAATTCGCGATAACAGGGTCATAATTTATATTCGCGATTGTTTGAATTTGATTTCCGCAATAAAACAGGGTAGGTTTACGTTAATTTCCATACTGTGCCGCTCATATTCTCGGTAAATGTTAATGGTGTAAATAAGAGACAGTTTTTATTTATTTATTTATTTTATATACAAAATATACCTACATACATGTTGACTTATGATCGACGGTTTTTCCAATCACTTGTCAAGTTTGGTTATTGTTTACAAATAGCGTGTTTGATAAAACATTAAATGTTTGTAAGAAGGTGTAATATACTTGTTTATAATACTTAATCCACAGTACGAAAATTGTCCACTGATCACTGTTTTACCGTAAATCTATTGTTATCTAAACAATATGTGTTCACATGTGTCTGTAAAGGGCAAAATTTATAGATATTGTCGGAAAATAATGTAAGCCCCTTGTATTTGAACAAAACGGAATTGGAAAAATCATTGATTATGATGTAAATGATGTAAAAAAATATTGCACACATTTTGTAATCAGTTATTGTATTCATTATCAAACTTAATCGCAATTCGAAAATAATTGTCATCAGATTTAATTTTTATAATGTATGTTATGTTATAAAATTTACGCGGCATCATGAATTCGTGACGCAGCCGATTCGCGAATAATTGCGAAAATTAAAACATCGCGAAAAATACCGGATTTACAGTATATCTTATAATGATACGTGCAAAACTCTGTCCTTGCTTGTTTTATGTTGATCCACGTTCTACCTGTTTGGCTAACAATAGTATTTGTAATCCAGAGGTCTCTGGTTTGATCCCCTAGCAGGGAGAAATTCCTCTCTGGCAGAAATAGAGGGGCATCCAAGGCCGACTGGTGAAGGTCGTTGACTTCAAACTGTTTGCCCGTCACCGCTGTGGGTTGGAATCCCAACAGGGACTTTCGATTCTTTCATGTGAGCAAGCTATCCAGCTAGCTTACGGAACGTCGATGGTTCTACTCAGGTGTCCGTTGGAGCCTGAAATAATGCACAGAAGGGCACCTGAGGTCTTCCTCCACCAGTAAAGCTGGAACGTCGCCATATGACCTATACTGTGTTGGTGTGACGTAAAACCCTAACAAACAAAATCTCAGAAATTGAGTCTAATGGTCATTTATTGCTCACCGCTGAATTCAGAAATCATGTGAGATTAGCAGTGGGTCACCAGTAGATATATTGGTAATTACTGGTTAGTTATCCAGGAAAGCCAGTTATGTAAATAGATGGCAGATGTATGACCAAAAAACATGTTAAAATTGGCGTATAACCCAACCAAACAAACTAAAAAAATGATTATGTGAAAAGGGACTTTAGTAAACATTTTCCGAAAAAAAAATTTATATCAAAGTAAGTGCTCAGTATTCAGTTGCAAACAAAAAAGAGAGTAACGAAATTATAAGAGACAGGAAAGAGTGTGATTCTTGTGATAAAAGTTCATCTTGAAATTTCTGTTCTGTTTAAAGGAAAGTGGAGGATGCGGTTGTGACTGAGAGAGAGAAAAGGTTTGTTTGTATATATGTCTTTCTTTCTGTCCGTGTGCATGTATGTATGTAAGTAAGTGTGTTTCGCCATTTTCTTCTCATAAGGACTTTGAATATGCTAAAAATACATTCTAGTTAACTGTAAGACAGTAAGACAAACTTTATTTACAAAGTAGAACTTCGGTATGTCGAAGTTAAAGTGACTTGTGTAAAAACTGCGACACTTGACTTGTGAATCAGCTGAATTTTAATGAAAAAAAATCAGGTCCTCGTCCGATGTGTAGAATCAAGTAGTAAAAGGCGTAACAAAAGGAAGGGGCGATAACAATGCCAGCTTAATTATAGTTAATATATGCGGTGTGATTATCAGGTGACATTAGGTCACAGAAGATCTCAGACAAAACTCCTTTGTACTTATTATTTTTAAATTTGAATTATTACAATAAGAGCATTTTATCACACATTTAATGCATACAAAGGCTGTTAAAACATACAGCTATGTAATTAACACCTGTTACACAAGTTAATCACCAATCATATTTTGGGCAGGAAAGGTGTGAAAAATGTCTCAAGATCGAAGGTGTCAAAATAATCAAAGGACTTCAACTTATTTAATATTTTATGGTAAATTGTACTCAATTTATTCTATACGAACCATGAAAAAACTTTGCACATGGAAAACTTTCACATATAAAATGTCAACTCATAAATAGGTTGGGATAACATGGTTTTTTCATAATTATATACATAGTAAAATAAGTTCTATGTGTAACATTATAAATTGTTTGTGTTTTTTGTTGTTGTTTTTTTGTAATTAATCTTTTTTTTTTCCTTTTTTTTTGCAGTTCATCTTTAAAACATGAACTGGTTTTCGAAATTTGTTGTTTGTTACTATGCAACTCAACTTTGTTAACCTTAATGCCTGTGAATGTCATAATAATGCATTTACTATGTATGTGTGTGTGCGTATGTTTCAGACGGGCTAGTATAGTTCCCCAGCATGGACCTATAGACAACATTCATGAGAAAGGCACAGTGTCAGACAAATCTGAAAAAGGTATAACTTTAAAGGCCCATTATGCCTCAGAAATGCTAGACTATAATTTTTATTTCTCAAAAACTTTTTATTTTTGGTATCTTGTTACTGTTTCAAAAAAAGAACTAATTTGCCATAAAGATGAAATATCTTTGCTCCCTTTGCTTTGTTGGCAATTGGTATAATTACAGTGAATACGTATTTGTTATGGTAGTCAAAATACTACATTGTTTACATTTTGCTACATTAACAACACACTGCACAATCAGCTATACTTTCTTCAGCTGTGGAACATCTGACATACCCTAAATCAATTATAAAAACATAATTGAACACATGTTTGACATTTATAAATAATTTTATAAATATGGCTTTCTGAGGCATAATGTGCCCTTAAAAAAATTTTTTTTTGTGGTTAATTGTGGCATTTTCAGCCTCTCAGAAAGTGGTCATATGGTGATTATCCAGTGGAGAAAGACGTCTTCACCCGGTTGTTCAAAACATTAGTTAAAATTAACCAAAGGACAGCAGCTTTTCCACTAGTTAAATCCTAAACCAGCGGCCAGCTATCTATTGGATAAAATTTCATTGCTCGACAGTTAAGATAGTACCCTGGATACCTAACCAGTGTATTTATTGGTGACTCTGGAAACAAAAAAGCCATTTTATTGATGAATAAGAAACTTCAAAGAATCGGGAAGATCCCAACAAATTAACTTAACATGTTTTGTGCTTTCATGATTTTGGAATTAAAACAAAAACTACTTTGTATATCAAAGGCCTTAAAGTACCGATAGATCAATTTCTTCCTAATGTGTGTCACATAAGAAAAAAAATTCAAAAACAACATTTTTTTTTGTAATTTTGAATCGAAATCGCTTCATTTAGATGGGTTATGTTCTAACTGAGAAAATGAGTACAGAATCATATCTAGCATAGATTTAATTGAAATAAGACCCCTTGTAAACTTAGAATTCTTTGGTCAATATCCAAGACTCGTAACTATTTCATGTACATAATATTTGTATTTTGAATGAAATCTTCCTCTTCGTTAATTCTTATATTATCCAGGCACTTGTTTTTTAGCTCGACTATTCGAAGAATATGAGAGCTATTGTAGTCGCCCCGGCGTTGGCGTCGGCGCCAGCGTCCGCGTCTGCGTCTGCGTTGGTTAAAGTTTTTTGTAAAGTCAAATATCTCAATTATTACTTGAGATATTCAATTGAAACTTACAATACTTATTTATAGTAACAAGGTACATCAGATTGACAAGTTGGATAACTCTTTTAACAATATTGACAGAATTATGCCCTTTTTAACTTAGAAATTTTGGTTAAAGTTTTTTGTAAAGTCAAATATCTCAATTATTGCTTGAGATATTCAATTGAAACTTACAATACTTATTTATAGTAACAAGGTACATCAGATTAACAAGTTGGATAACTTTGCCTACAATTTTGGCAGAATTATGCCCCTTTTTAACTTAGAAATTTTGGTTAAAGTTTTTTGTAAAGTCAAATATCTCAATTATTGCTTGAAATATTCAATTGAAACTTACAATACTTATTTATAGTAACAAGGTACATCAGATTGACAAGTTGGATAACTCTGCCTACAATACTGACAGAATTATGCCCATTTGTAACTTAGAAATTTTGGTTAAAGTTTTTTTGTAAAGTCAAATATCTCAATTATTGCTTGAGATATTCAATTGAAATTTAAAATACTTTTTTATAGTAACAATGTTCATCAGTTTGCAAAATTGCATAACTCTGCCTGCAATATTTGCAGAATTATTTGCCCCTTTGAACTTACTTAGAAATTTTAATTAAAGGTTAAAGGTCTTCAAAGATATTTACTTGAAACTTTATACATGCACTAAGGGTCATAATTGGAGGGTCATAATTGCATGTCACTGACCAAGTTCCATAACTCTATCTTGCATTAAGGCTGATTCATATCCCCTTTTCTACTTAGTCTCTTGGTTAATGTTTACATGCAAGTTTTACATATCTCAATAACTATTAAAGATATTTATTTAAAACTTCACATATGCATTTAGGGTCATAATTGTAGGTCACTGACAAAGATCCATAATTCTATCTTGCATTTAGGCTGATTTTTCTCCCCTTTTTCAACTTAGAAATTCATGGTAAAGTTTTGCTTGTAAGCTGGTATTTCCATAACTACTGAAGGGTTTGTGCCATTTTTGGGACAATTTTATGCATTCATGGTAATAAAGCAGTGATTTACTCAATTAAACATCTTAATAACAAGAAGCCTTTGTACCTTTTCTGTCAAATTTATGTATTCATAGGTAATTAGTATTATTATACTCAATAAAACACCCTTGTGACATTACCTTCCAAAAAGTCAAGCCAATACTGTATAATTAGACTCTCTCTAAGGCCTATAACATGAATTTATAAAAAAATTAGCCCTTTTGTGAACTTAAAAAATTTAACATTATCAAGGCTCTTTTACTATCAAGCACTTAGAATAGTCGAGCGTGCTGTCCTACCGACAGCTCTTGTTTTACTATCAAGCACTGAAAATAGTGGAGTATGCTGTCCTACTGACAGCTCTTGTTATAAGCTACCTTCACATATTTTAAAGGTTATTTTGGTAAAGTCACTGACTATATAAGAAAGACAACTCAAGGATGAATGTTTACAGAATTATTCCCCCTTAAGAACTCCTATTTGGCCAATTGGCAAGCTCACTGACTAAGAAAGACAACTTAATATGAATGTTTACAGAATTATTTCCCTTTGTGAAGTCCTTTTAGGTCACCAGGCAAGCTCACTTACTAAGAAAGACAACTCAAGCATGAATGTTTACAGGATTATTCCCCTGTGTGAAGTCCTTTTAAGCCACCAGGCAAGCTCACTTACTAAGAAAGACAACTCAAGCATGAATGTTTACAGGATTATTTCCCTTTGTGAACTCCTTTTAGGCCACCAGGCAAGCTCACTGACTAAGAAAGACAACTTAAGCATGAATGTTTACTAAATTTTCCCCTAGTTCTTTAAGGCCACAAAGCAAGCTCACTGACTAAGAAAGACAACTTAAGTATGAATGTTTACAGAATTATTTCCATTTGTTAACTTCTTTTAGGCCACCAGGCGAGCTGTTTTTATTTCAGGTGATAGAGAGAGTACTTACACTCAGCCACGGCCAGGATCTGCAACACAGCCAACAGAAAAGGTGAAAAAACTTCCAATATGGCTGCAAGTTGCACAGGAGAAATCCACAGTTTACCAAGATGTCACGTAAGACAAAGATATTTCTTGCAACATTTTATCACTGTATATCATTGATTCAGTTACAAGTAAGGGGCGATGAATCTTAAATTAGTGAGTTCAAATCACTTGCTCCTTGCCACTTAACAGTTGTTTTGAATTTGGACTTTTGATTTTAGATTCGTTCATGTGAGGAAGCTACCCAGCCAGCTTATGGAATGTCAGTTGTTCTACTCGTGCCAGTTTGTACCTGAAACAATGCCTGAAAAAATGTAGATAAACTCGTCTTACACCTGCAGTGTAAGACTTAATTTACATGCTTTAATTCACATCATTCCTGCGTGCCTTTTATGAATAAATTGTGTGCTTAGAAATGAAATCATTTCACCACTATGAATGAAGTTGTAGATTCATATGCTTCTAATAGTATGAGAAAAAACGCTAAAAGGAAAATATTAGCTTTCATAACTTTTTTTTCTGAATTAAGAGTATGATATAACATTGAATATGTAATATGCAATAAAAAGAATCAAACATTGGCAGTAGTCACAGACAGGAATATCTATCTCCTAAGGTAAATGTTAAGCGGTAACTCTGCATAGCCTTGTTACCACCTTTATAATACAGTTACCCTCGAGCTAGATATTCTGGTCTGTACTGGCAGCTGCTGTAACATTCTTAAGTGGTAACTCTAAAGAGGCTTATTACCGCCTTATACAGTTAGCCTCAAACTAGATATTCTGATCTGTACTGGCAGCCGGTGTAACATTCTTATATTCTTTTCTCGCAGTCAAAGTATGCCCAATCCAGAGACAACAGTTCAGAGATGTAAACGGAATTTAAACAAGGTGAAAAGATCTGTACAAAAGGAAAACGAGGCACAATTGGAGAAAATTGTCAGGTACTTTAAGAAATAATATATCCTTAACAGTAAAAAAAAAGGGTGTTTGGGCACCACACTTAATACTGTATTATCAGATATCTGACATCAGACAAGGCGCTTGAATTTTAAATGCTGGAAACTCGCCTTTTCACCCACCAAAATGCACTTTGAGATGTTTTATTCATCATTTAACATCAAGATATATATTACAATGAATGAAAAATGTAAGAATCAGCGGAAAAAGCAATATTTTACTACTTTGTAATAATAATTTCTGAGATCTCTAGAGGTAATGCTCCAACACTGTTGTGACATCTTAATCTTTGACATTTCCCTAAAAATAATAAATGGTTTTGTCCTTATTGAAATATAGACAAGTTCATTTAAGATATTAAGGGTGAAATACTGAAATTTGTGTTATTTTTTGAAAATTTCCACCTTGTTTTTTGTGCAAAAGTTGAATATATGTTTGTGTTTGATTTGACTTCTTCAGAGAACGTTTGGCAACTTTCCGACTTAAGTTACTTGCACTTAACCAAGAGGAGTGCAGTCCCTTGTTTGAGAAAGAAATACTTAAACTAGACGATAAGAAGGGAAATGTGAAACTATTCCACCTGGAGAATTTTGATGTGCAGCCGTCAAAATGGTAAGTATTTTCCATTGTCTTCTACCTCCTTAAAGCCCCAAACCCCTTGTCCACATACGCACACGCCTGCACACACGCCTGCACATACACACATACCTGTACACCCTCATTTGACATAGACAAAAAAGTGTCAACATTTTGATTAATAAAAATACCATTTATCTTCTGTAGATCATGCAATAGCGATGCTATGTTTTAAAGGCCCATTATGCCTCAGAAATGCTATCAATTATTTTATTTTTTTTCTCAAAAACTTTTTTTAGTTTTGGTATCTTGTTACAGTTTCCAAAAAATACTCTTTTGTCAAAATATGATATATCTTTTGATGAATTTGTTAGCAATTGATGGCAATTGGTATAATTATGGCGAATTAGATTTTTTTTTTTTTTTTTTGTATGGAAGTCAAAATACTACAGATGTACTTTGTTTACATTTTGCTACCTTTATGACACATTACTACATGTTCAGTGCTATTTCTTCAGTTGTTAAACATCTTGCATGCATTATCAAAACATTATTAAAGACATGTTTGACATTTTTAAAGAATTAAAAAATACATGATATGCCTTTTAGATATCAAATCCTAAAAATATGGAATTTTAGAGTGAATTGGAATGACTTGGGGGGGGTCTATTTTGGGTTGCGTGTTATACCAGTGACTTGTTTATCATGTTATTATCAATCCATTTTGATTAGATCAGAGCTCTCTACATGTTCATTTCAATTAGCAAATTGCTACGACCTCAGATAGTTTTATCAGAAAGATTTATCAGAGTGCAGTCATTTGAATACAAATGTATTTATAAGCAAATATTTCCATAGCTTTTAATCATTCAATCATATTCCTCCAGCACCACTACAGGTACAAATCCTTAAAAGGACTTTGGATTCTTTTATGTGTGGAAGCTCTCTAGCTAGCTTACAGAAGACTGGTGGTTCTACAATGTTCAATCTAGAACAAATTCCCAGGGGGCCCTTCAGGCCCATAAACTTTTCAAAAGGGGGTCATTTGAGAAAAAAGGGGGCCCACACTTAAAATGAACATCAAATTCAAATAAGGTATTGTATCTTTTAAGTTACTTGTTCACGTACCATATATAGACCAAAAACGTATGCAAAATACCAAAACAATCAACTCAACTAAAAAAATGACATTATTTTGACCTTTTTTGAGAGTTCTGTTAGCGTTGATACAGGCTCAATTTTAAGAACTGATTGGTAAAGAAACGATGACATAATGTTCAAAGAAACATATGAATCTTATTTTACCTTTTTAATGTTACCAGGGATATTTGATAATAATGTTCAGTTTTTTTAATCAGCGCCCAATATATAAAGGAAAATCATATTTCGCAATTAGCTTTGTTGATGAAGAATATAAACTTACAAAAGTCCTTAAAAACATTTACCCTTCTCAATATATCCAAGCGAAAAACAAAGTGTCAACAGGTGCTAAGACAATGTATATTTACAAACCGGTACCTTTGATCTTTTGTCAGGGCAGCAGTTCTTACGTCACGCTTAAGATGTCTGTATTGATTAATGATATGCACAATGTTTTAGTGCCGACCAGCCAAAGACCAATCAAAGTTAATCTAATCAATTGTCAGACACTCCCTAGCCAATCGTGTTTGATTAGCTCCATCTTTAAGACTTTTTTAATTGGATGAAGGTGTGTTCGTAATAATTTATGCACACTTCTCTATAATTAACTCGCACTTTTCACAAATATATAGTTTTTTTTTCCTTCGGAAAGGTATTACATATTTATTTGTTTTGACCGTGAAAAAACTATAACTAAACGCACGTATTGGATTATCTGTGACGATTTGTTTTGTTTATAAAAACTGTGACTCAAAAGTAAGAAATAGTTACGGTACGAAGAACAAGTCTACATAGTATTTACAGACCCGGGCCGAGAGAGCGTAGCGATCAAGGTTTTAAAAGGGTTACCAAGTGCGGTAACTATCTTACCAACATGCTCTTGTTTTTCTATACAAACTTCAGTTTTGAATTCAGTATTTATTAATATTATTCACAAGAAACTTTTTATGTACTTAATCAGGTTTAAGAAAGCATTCTAATGTCATTTAGGGCATTTTCTATGAGTGCGCCCGTCGGGCCCACAGTTGAATTTGTTTTGCGCCGGCGGTCTTTTCAGGGGGTCAATGGCGCACTCTAGATTGAACACTGGTTCTATTCAGTTGTCTCTTGCATATTTCTGCACCATTAAAGGAACTCCACTGAGGTTTATTGACAAGAAGGATTTGTGTACCATTCGATGAAAAACCTGGACCAATAATGTGTGTGAAAATGATCAGATCATCCCCTCACCCCTTCTTTCCAGATTAATCATTTTTGTGCCGCCTCTACGGAGTAGTGGCGACATATAGGGATCACTTCTCCGTCTGTCTGTCTGTCTGTCTGTCCGTCCGTCCGTCACAAAACTTGTCTGGACTACTCCTCATAAACTACTGGTGCAATTTCATCCAAACTTTACCGGAATGATCAGTACCAAGTCTAGTTGTGCATATTGTCAGCATTTTCCGGTTCAATGATTTTTGTCAGAGTTATGGCCCTTTAATAATTTTTAATTTTAAAGTTTGTCCGGACTACTTCTCTTATACCACTAATGCAATTTCAATGAAACTTTACAGGATTGATCTGTAGCTCAAGTCCTTGTGCATATTGCAAGGGTTTTCTGGTTGAATGATTTTTGGCCGAGTTATGGCCCTTTGATAAAAAGGTTTCTTTTTCTGTGTGTTGCCAGATACACAAAAGCTTGTCCGGACTACTCCTCATAAACTACAGGTGCAATTTCATCCAAACTTTACAGGAATGATCAGTACCAAGTCTAGTTGTGCATATTGTCAGCATTTTCCGGTTCAATGATTTTTGTTTGAGTTATAGCCCTTTAATAATTTTTATTTTTAAAGTTTGTCCGGACTACTTCTCTTATACCACTAATGCAATTTCAATGAAACTTTACAGGATTGATCTGTAGCTCAAGTCCTTGAGCATATTGCACGGGTTTTCCGGTTGAATGATTTTTGGCTGAGTTATGGCCCTTTGATAAAAAGGTGTTTTTATGCCCCCACAATGTGGGAGCATATAGCGTTGCACTTGTCCGTCCGTCAGTCAGTCCGTCCATCAGTCCGTCCGTACGTCCCGAAATCTTGTGAACACAACTCCTCTTAAACCGGATGGCAGATTTTGCTTAAACTTACAGGGATGAACAACCTTAATGTGTAGATGGTAGTAAAGGAAGGAATTTTTGCTGCGACCAAATTTAACAGAATTATGGCCCTTTGTTGATTTTTTCACTAGATACTATGCAGAAATTTTGTGAACGCAACTCCTCTTAAACCGGATAGCAGATTTTGCTTAAACTTACAGAGATGAACATCCTTAATGAGTAGATGGTAGTAAAGGAAGGAATTTTTGCTGCGACCAAATTTAACAGAATTATGGCCCTTTGTTTTTTTTTCACTAGATACTATGTAGAAATTTTGTGAACGCAACTCCTCTTAAACCCGATGGCAGATTTTGCTTAAACTTACAGGGATGAACAACCTTAATGTGTAGATGGTAGTAAAGGAAGGAATTTTTGCTGCGACCAAATTTAACAGAATTATGGCCCTTTGTTGATTTTTTCACTATATACTATGTAGAAATTTTGTGAACGCAACTCCTCTTAAACCTGATGGCAGATTTTGCTTAAACTTACAGGGATGAACAACCTTAATGAGTAGATGGCAGTAAAGGAAAGAATTTTTGCTGCGACCAAATTTTACAGAATTATGGCCCTTTGTTGATTTTTTCATTATATACTATGTAGAAATTTTGTGAACGCAACTCCTCTTAAACCGGATGGCAGATTTTGCTTAAACTTCCAGGGATTAACAACCTTAATGTGTAGATGGTAGTAAAGGAAGGAATTTTTGCTGCGACCAAATTTAACAGAATTATGGCCCTTTGTTGAATTTTAGTTTTCAACTTGTGGCACATGTAGTCCAAAAAAAATATTTGACCTAGAGTCATAAGATTGACACAACAGTGGCATGTGGGGGCATCCGTGTCCTATGGACACATTTCTAGTTTTTCTGTGTGTTGCCAGATACGCAAAAGCTTGTCCGGACTACTCCTCATAAACTACTGGTGCAATTTTATCCAAACTTTACAGAAATGATCAGTACCAAGTCTAGTTGTGCACTGTCCGTAAGACTGTCCGTCCGCACTACCGAATAGGGATAGGGGGCCATCTAACTGTAACCAGAACAAAAGAGAACAATAGAGTTCATTCCGTAACAATAGAGTAAGGGGCCATTGGCCCTCTATTAAACAATAGAAAATAACAAAAGAAATGGCCCCTTATTCCATTTCGGCCGGACGTCCGTCTGTCACAAAACTTGTCCAAACATGAAATTGGCCATCATGAGGCGACACATGTGATTACTGATCGCTCTTGTTATTGCACAAAATGACCTGAAAGAGAAAAACGTTACAAAGGATTTCACTGAAATCTTGCTGAAAATTGCACATATTGATAATCCAATTTCATTCCGAGTATATCTCTCTATTAGTCTTTGCCTTTTTTTCCATTTTTCAATGCTACACTTCATCAATGTAAGAAGTTTAAATGTTATGTTTATAGGTGTTTTGACCCCTGGATGTAGCTCCTTTAATGATGGAAAGTCGTCATATGATCTTTATACACTGTCATTGCTACTTATGATCAACAAAACAGCAAAAGTATATGTCAAATAATTGACATCATAATGTTGTTTTTTTCCATTTATGGTAGAGTTATGTCCTAATTCTTGATTTCTTTGTTTTGTATATAACAGAGGACAATAAGTTATCATGTAAGTATGGTATATACTAGTATAATTATAATGTTAAAAAGTCTCATGAAAAATTGGCAAGGGGCAAACCACAGGTCTCTAGATTGTGGATCCACTATGCTTATTACTACACCACAGGGACCCCTTGACATCTTTTTTTTTGTGCTCATGCATTGGCCTGATATATGGGTATTTAAGTTATTTTTAACTTATTTATTGTGACATCATTGTCACCAGAGTGGCGAGCTATTTATAGCTACTTATCACGTTTATTTGACAGGTACGAGGAATTGAAGGAGCAGACTATGGGTATGATGTCATCGTACCCGCAGCCAGAGATCGCTGACATGCTCACCAAACTCCAAATATACTCTCACATGGACAATAAAACTTTGTCGTATTCGAAGGTAAACTTACAAGCTAATATTTTGTGTATCATTAAAGTTAAATTAGAGTTAAACCTAGGACTTCTCAAATAAAATCTAAGGGGGGAAGCAGTCACAAAATTGACTCTGTCCCTCAAAAAGATTCTGTCCCTCAAAAAGATAGCTGTAATGAATGGAAATAAAATAGAGAAAAACTGAAAGGGTGCGCCCTTATTCTAGTGTAATGAATTTTTTATGCTCCCCAAAGTGAGAGCATCTAGTCTCCACCATATCCCTCTGTCGGTCAATCATGCTCTTGTCTCGAGAATAACTTGAAAGGTATTGAAGGAATTGCAGATAGTAATCACACAGTGATATAGACCAGTGAGAGGAAGTGCAATGTCCAAGAACTCTAAGACCTCAGTTAAACTGAAACAGAAACAATAATATGAGCTGCGTCACGACAAAACCAACATAATGCATTTGCGACCAGCATGGATCCAGACCAGCCTGCGCATCTGCGCAGTCTGATCAGGCTCCATGCTGTTCGCTTACCAACTCTATTACAAGTAGAGAAACTGATAGCGAACAGCATGGATTCTGATCAGACTGCGCGGATGTGCAGGCTGGTCTGGATCCATGCTGGTTGCAAACGCACTATGTTGGTTTTGTCATGACACGGCTCATATTTTTAAGGCTGGCCCTGTATTGCAATTTTTTCCCTCAGGAAAGAAAATTGATAATGATAAACATTCTGTTGAATAATAATTAATGTATATATATTTATTTTTTAAACCTAATTATTATAACTTGACAAATGATAATATAAAAATATGATATGTTATGTAGCTTTCCAGGTAATGAAGGTGACTTGTCAATTCTTAAAATTTCAAATTGTACTACATGTAAATGGAACTAAAGGGGCATTTGTTCTATTGTCAAAAATGTGTTCACATTTACTTTTGATATGATTACGAGACAGTCTCAATTTAAAACCCATGTTTTATCATTTCATTATATCATTGTTGGTGTTTGCATTTATGAAATGCATTCAGATTTTGTGAAAGGGCAATTGCAACTTTTCGTCCCTTTCCATCTTTCTGAGGACATTCTGATTTGTGATAGGGGATTTATGTTTTATAGATATTATAAATGTGTTTTAGGCAAAGCTATGTCTTTTGGTGATGTCTCTACCAGCATATGATATCTGTCAAATTTATATGCAGAAAGCACTAAAGGTAAACTATTTTACTATGTTACTTGTATGTGAATAAACGTTCTGATTTAAAAACTTATGTTTGGAAAGAGGTTACATTTAAAAAACATATTGCTTGACTATGATTTGCCATGAAGTTAAAAATGAAGTAACAGTTCCAAAACTGGACATTGCACAAGTCTAGTTAAGGAAACCAACAGGTTAAGGGACTAATGATGATAAACATAGACAAAACAATGTTTATTACAAAAATAGATGAAACATTGTCTATGATAAACATAGTAAAACAAGTTGTTGATAAGCAATAAAAAAGAAGGGTCTATGGTAAAAAGAAAAAGAACAAGACCTATAATGAAGGTAGATAATACTAGTTATTAAACAATAAACATAGATAAAAAAAATGTCTATGATAAACACAGATAAACCATTGTGTATAATAAACATAGTTAAAACAATGTCTATGATAAACATAGATAAAACAATGTCTATGATAAACATAGATAAACCAATGTCTATGATAAACATAGATAAACCAATGTCTATGATAAACATTGTTAAACCAATTTCTATGATAAACATAGATAAACCAATGTCTATGATACACGTAGATAAACCAATGTCTATGATAAACTTAGATAAATCAATGTCTATAATAAACATAGATAAGTCAATGTCTATGATAAACATAGATAAATTAATGTCTATGATAAACATAGATAATCCATCTTGTATGATAAACATAGGTAAACTTAGATAAAACAATTTTGTCTTTGATAGGCATAGATGAAATAATGCTTATGATAAACATAGATAAAACAATGTCTATGATAAACATAGATAAAACAATGTCTATGATAAATGATAAACAATAGTAGATAAAATAGTCTATATAATAGTTTTTATGCCCCCGGGCATATAGTAATTGAACCGTCCGTCCGTATGTCCGTACGAGGTTAACCTAGAACGGCAAGTTGGATTTTTCTTAAGTTCTACCTGTACCAATGGCTTCTAAGTTTACACACTTACTAATCAATACAAAGTACATGATCTGGGCAAGATTCATAACTCATAATTCATAATTTTTTTGGAGTAAGCGGTCTCTAGGGTCAAGGTCAAGGTCACTGGTTTAAAAAACAAATATAAACCTTTTTGCTCATACAGCCTTTATTTTTTAGTTGATGTCTTAGTTTAATACAAACACCTCCTTCTTTGGGTGTAGTATGGGGTCATTTGGGTCAAGGTCAATGTTACCAATGTCAAGGTCACCAGTGTTAAAAATAGATTTTTACATTTTTACAGGTGTATTGACCTTATTCTATAGACAGATATTATTTATAATTGATAGAAACATAAACTTTGATGGAGTTAGTGGTCAGTTGGGTCAAGGTCACCAGTGCTAAAATAGATTTTTACACATTTGCTCATACAGCCTATATTAAGTGACAGATATATTTTATATTTGGTAGGAAGATAACTTGCATTGTATTCATCCTTTTGATTTGGGTAGGGATCAGTGGGTCAAGGTCACTTGTGCTAAAAATAGATTTTTACACTTTTGCCCATACAGCTTTTATTTATTGACAGTTGTATTTCATATTTGGTAGGAAGATAACTTGCATGAAGTTAAATATTTTTCAACTTCACAAGTCAGAGCAATGACTTGGCAACTTATATTTTTCACAATTACAAAATGCCATGACTTTGTCAAGTTATAAAACTTGTGTTTACAATTTTTTGGCGATTTTTCTGTCCATAACTGAGTGAATGGGTAAACTTTTTTTGAAGTATTGCTACTGACAAGAATCTGAGCCGGGGGCATTTGTGTTTAACAAACACGTTCTTGTTTTCATATAACCTTTATAACAACATAACTAATAAAACAGCAAAAAAAATGTTCATTTCAGTTTATATTTGAAAACATCATGCTTGGACAGGACACACAGTTAAACGAGTGGTTGAATCACAGGAAGATACCAAACGTGGTCACCACTGATATCTTTAGCAGGCCCGAGTCTCCGTTTACGGACCCTGACTAACCTACAAAAGACTGTTAAACACACGTACACTTTAATATTATGATATTTCTAATTTTAGCTTCCTTCTAGGATAAATATATTCATGTATATCATCACTATCTATTGTTGTTAAAAAAATTAAAGTTTTGAATATTTATTATATGATTTTCTGACATATTTTGCCTGAATATATTGTTTACTTACTGCCCAGGATGAAACATTAGGCAGTTTGTCTGTATGTTGTTTTTTATACCTTGATAATATAAACTATATGAGCCGTGTCATGACAAAACCAACATAATGGGTTTGCGACCAGCATGGATCCAGACCAGCCTGCGCATCCGCGCAGTCTGATCAGGATCCATGCTGTTCACTATCGGTTTCTATACTTGTTATAGATTTTGTAAGCGAACAGCATGGATCCTGATCAGACTGCGCGGATGAGCAGGCTGGTCTGGATCCATGCTGGTCGCAAACCCATTATGTTGGTTTTGTCATGACGCGGCTCATATGGAGAGCTTTCCTCCTCACTATTGAATTGAAATGGCATTTTTGGTTAATATGTTTTGTACAGTATAAAATATGTTTTACTTGAACTTCTATATTTCTTAAGCTATCTACCTCAAACTTCAAATATATGTTGCATATATATCCAACATCATATGTGGCAAGGTTCATAACTGTAACAATTTCCAGAGTAATCTTCCCTTGAACTTGCTTTGTGTCACACATGCATCATATGTAATAAATTGCTTAAATTGTCAAAATTTGTAAAGACATGCCCAAGTATATACATTTAGTTTCTATTGTACTGTTGTTAAAATCTTATATTCATCTATGAAATAAGTAAGTTGATTATATCCACTTTCACCACAAGAAACTTGAAATGCTGACACCCACCCCTTAAAGGATTGACATATGTTTCGCAAGTTGTAACCTTGTAATCTGTGCTTCTTCAATAAAGATTATGTTCTGTTCTGTAATTCTAGCACCTGTATTTCTAGACTTATTTTAAATTATTTGAGAATTTGTTTGAAAATTGTTTTTATTTTTAAATATATATTTTTTATTTACATTGTATTTTCTATATTATCTACTGAAGATTTTAAGTGACATGCTCATTTTTTCACTGTCAAGTTGAGTTTGATTAGAAGGTATATTTCAAGAGATTGAATATATTAATGGTGATAACAAATAATTGATATGAAAAATGTGATTGACAAAACATAATAAATAACTAAATTATCTGTCCCATTCTTTTTTTAAAAAAAAACGTAACCAACACATTCCTAACGATATTTATGGAAATGTCAACTATATATGGAAATGTCCGTGGGTCACCTGGATTATTATTTTTGCATATGAAAATATAAAATTGAACATAATTATGGCAAAATGTAGTTATTTTGACTTATACTTGTGCTCTCACCATTTACGCTTGAATGACAATAATGTACCTTAACCCTTTCCCCCATGAGCATATTGTGAAAATGGCCATTTTCACTGAAAAGCCTCCTCTTACAAGTTCAAACTGCTATGAAACTATGAAAAATGCTTCAATACTAATCAAACTTGGCACAAAGGTTGACTGGACCATTGCCTTTGTAACGACATGCTCAGTGTTAAATTTCCTGTTACCATGGCAACGAGGGGACATCTCAAAATTGCCAAAAATCACTTTTTTGCCTCGATTTTTTCCATCAAAATTTACTTCAAAGTGCTGCAACTTCTCAAGGGATTGAGATAGAGTCAAAGGCTTTTCAGCGTTGGTTACACGTTACCTTATGATCAACCTGGGGTCATTTTAAGCCTCTCACAAGTCCAAAATTTTCTTGGCAATGAGGGGGACTCCGCCCCCCTTCAAACCCCCCAAACAGAAGGGGGCACATCCCCCTTCTGGCAACCCCCTGATGTATTATTTGGATGGGGGACGGCGCCGCAAAAAATGGTCACTTTTTTAAACAACATTTCTCAAACGAAAAACAGTGTTTGGGGTCTAAATAGGACATTTTTTCACTGTTTGAGGCCTCAAAAAGGGGGGGGGGGGGCAAAAAGCCGTCGAAACACGCTTATATAAGGGAAAAGGTTAAAGGGACATTATGCTCATTTTTTCATTGTCAAGTTGAGCTGAATTGACATATATTTCAAAAGATTGACTGATAAAATGGTGATTGACCATTAGTTGATATTGGAAAATGTTTAGGATAAAATTATAAATCTGCCTAAAATTTAAAAAGACTGCCCCACTCTTTTTATAAACTTAGCAGTTATACGTAAATTCAAACGGACATTGACAGAAACTTCATTCGGATCTGTGTGTTGTTTATTGTTTATGCGAACTTAATTGTTAAATTAAAAGGGATTATGGCAAAATGAAAACATATTTTGATCTTCACCCGTTCACTCACTATATACCTTTTGATGGGCATAATGTCACTTTAAAGATATTGTTCATATTTTCACCACTAACATCATGTTTGACAAGGGGCATTACTGTGTAATATTTCTTATGTTAAGAGTTATCTCTGCTTTTTACTTAAAACTTTGCCTAAAAAAAAAATATTATGTACTTTTTATGTCTTTTTACTGAAAGGATTTATTTTAGACTTCAGATTGTTGTATTTTTCATTACAGCATAGAAATTTCTGTTGATGTTAATTGTTTTTACTCTCATAATGTTATGTGCTGGGTGCTGAAATGTTGGCCATTGTGTTCTTGATATTGATATAGATATATTTTTATATTATAACATTTTTTTTTTTCTCAAAGTTTTGTCTTTCTTTACCTTTTCCGGCATTTAATAACTCTAGCGTGCTGTCTCCTATGACAGCTCTTGTTACATTTACAATAAATATTTACATGGTTGTGTTCAATATTTTTTGTCATTAAAAAAAATGTATGTATTATTTTCAACATTGTTGCAATTATCATGTGTGTTTTTCATTAGGGTGTAGGGGGTTCATAAATGTTTTCATGAAACTGAAGTGTATGTCTAACATTATAAAAGTGGTTGACTTGAAACATAAAAATACTGGTAGATGGCATTTATGGTATGACTGTGAGTAAAAACCGTAACTTTATCTGTTTCCATTTTTGAATTATTTCCCTTTTTTTCTTTTCTTTTAAATACTTTTTTTCATTATAATATCTTGATCCAGTGCAGAACTCCAAAAATCCATACAAATGGTTCACTTGAAACTAAAAAAGTAAACAGTTGACAGCTTGGAAAATTGCAATGGCCAGGGAGAAATGCATAGGCAGTTTGTGCTCCTGTTTTTAGCTCACCTGTCACAAAGTGACAGGGTGAGCTTTTGTGTTCGCTTTTCGTCCGGCTTCCGTCCGTCCGTCGTCCGTCCGTTAACTTTTACTTTAAATGACATCTCCTCATAAACCGCTGAGCCAATTTCATCGAAACTTCACAGGAATGTTCCTTTGGTGGTCACCTTTAAAAATTGTTCAAAGAATTTAATTCCATGCAGAACTCTGGTTGCCATGGCAACCGAAAGAAAAAAACTTTAAATATCTTCTTTTAAAAAACCATAAGAGCTAGAGCTTAGATATTTGGCATGAAACATCTTCTAGTGAATGTCTACCAAGTTTGTTCAAATAAAAGCCCTTGGGTCAAAATTGGCCCCGCCCCGGGGGGGTCATTGATTTTCCCTATATGCATATATTAAAAACTTAAAAAAATTTCTTTTAAAGAACCCAAAGAGCTAGAGCTAAGATATTTAGCATGAAACATGTTCTAATGGGTGTCTACCAAGTTTGTTCAAATAAAAGCACTGGGGTCAAAATTAGCCCCGCCCCGGGGGGTCATTGGTTTTCCCTATATGCATATAGTAAAAACTTAAAAAATCTTCTTTTAAAGAACTCAAAGAGCTATGGCTAAGATATTGAGCATCAGACATGTTCTAATAGGTGTCTACCCAAGTTTGTTCAAATAAAAGCACTGGGTCAAAATTGGCCCCACCCCGGGGGTCATTGATTTTCCCTATATGCATATAGTAAAAACTTAAAAAAATCTTCTTTTAAAGAACCCAAAGAGCTAGAGCTAAGATATTTAGCATGAAACATGTTCTAATGGGTCCAA